GATACCAGAATTCAGTCCGCTCTTCGGCGCTCTGAGGAAGCTCGATCCGAGGGATCCAGCGGAGTGGAAAGCTACCGCACCAGGTCAGGTGCTTATGCGCAATGCGACGTCTACACGCCACGACTATGAAGGCGAGGGTGTTGCGTCTGGGGCGGCGCGTTGGCTGCGGCGCGAGGCCGAGTTGATGGGGTTTAGGGGTATCCAGATTGAGTGTATTGCAGATGCTGTGACGCATCTTTGGAGTAATGGTGTGGAGGAGCCGTTTAAGGGAAGAGTGGTTAGTGAGTTTGATACGGAGACTTGGGAGGATGAGGAGGGAAAAAGGCCGTTTGGTTTGGCGAGGCAGAGGTGTACTAAGTGTTGGGTTGATCTGTAGGCTGGTGGTAGATGAGAGGATGAGAAGGGAGTGGATTTGGATTTTAATGACCTAATGGTTGCTCATTTGATTATGCTGCGTGGAAGCGTCCTCTACTGGTACTGAGTGATGAGACCTCTGACGTCAGTGCCCAGGTGGTGTACATCAGCCGACGGGTACAGTCAAGAACTGCAACACTTTCTGAATCACAATCAAGCTCTGCTTTCATGCTACACATGACCTCAGATTCTATCGAAAGACCGTAGTAATTCCGATACCCAGCAACATCGACAAAATGACCGATGTTCGCCCGCGGGCTGAAGTCGAGCTTCTCGTTACAAAAACATGCTATCTCTCAAACGATCCCGTCTTCTTCATAGTCCTCATCATCGCAGAGTACAACTTCAAAGAGGGAGTTATATACCTCCAAGATGGTCTCGCAGGCTCGAGGCTTTACCAGCCCATGAACTCCAGCCAATTTATCCAGTGTGTCGACAATGAGACGGGTGAGGAAGTTGAAGTCGTGCGCCAACGCACAGCGCCAGTTCTCTTTCGCGAAGACCAAAGCGAAGTCACTTTTACGACAGGGAGGCCCAGTAAGTCCTGCGAAATGCCGTTCATTACTACTGCTCTCCGACCAAATAGGAAGTACAGACTGTGCTTCAAACCGACAACCCCAATTTCGCATTGGCCAGTCAGCGCGGTGAATACTTCGACTTCTCTTTCAGGAAGCCTGGGCGATTTGCTATCTGCGTCTGAACTTCCTACACCAGCCGCACCGACTATACCCTGGCAGGCCGCCAACGGCAACGACACAGTCATCTTCGAGACCCGAAGTTCGCGACCAAAGACACCAAAAGTCACCGTTTCTCTATCAGCACCATCGACATACTCCCTCTCCTCTCCCACCAAGAGATTTGCTTTCACGCTCACGTTCTCGACGGACGCCGCATATCCCTTTACAGTCCACGCAGATCGCGCATGGGTCAAGTCTCTTCAATCCGACTTGGCAATCCTCGACGCAACGTCGCGCTGCAAGCTCGAACCTTATTTAGAGATCTGCCGCGATCATTATGAGATCGAAAGAGACGAGTTCATACGATTCGAAAAGACGTACATCGAACACCGAGAGTTAGATTTCGGAGGCAGAAAAATGGACAGATTGAAGCTTGAGGTTGGCAAAGAGTACATACTCTGCCATCTCGGCGGATCGTGGTGGTGGACGGAGGATACGGTCGAGGAGATTATGGGCTACCTTGCTTCTTGGAGTAGTGCAGGGTTGGAGGTGGGTACGAAAATCGAGTTTGAGGGCGCAGGGGAAGTGAAGTTTACGGTGGTGGAGTAATGATCCTCTGAGGGTATACGAGCAGTCGGTTGATGTGCATCTTGAGTGTCACAGCTAAGATAGTTTTGGAATGATACGACTATGTGAAGCCGTTGCGCAGTCTTGGAACAAGACTGAGGGGCATGTAGCCGTCAATACACTGGTACTGTCCATTCCTCGAGCAGCACATCGACGATGTCTCTGTCCACTGGACTTGAGGCCGTTTCGGTCTCCCTCATCTCCTCGTTGTCCTCTAGCTTCAACACTAGGTCAGCAGCATCCTTGGTACAGGGCTCATCCTCATCTTTCACCAAACGCCGTATTTTCCTTGACGAACGCTGGCCATCGTCCTGCTCCGTTCTATCATCCGGCAACCGTGATGGGTATGGGTCTATCATGGACGCGTTCGAAGGCGTGCGGGCTTTGTGAGACAGGTTGCTAAGCACAGAGAGGTCGGGTCGCGCAGGAAGCCCCTCATATCCACTCGAAGAGGATAACCTGAGATTGTACGGTTCCCATACTTTCCCAGAGCCTGCACTTGGCCAACCTGAGATGCGTGTAGATGCGTGCGCATCTTGTCTCGCACTGCTTTCAGGCTGAGAAGTGATATTTTCTATCATCGAATTATCCGTCATCGATTGGCTGGTGCCATCTTGTTCTCGCTCCAAAAGTGGTTTCCTTTTCCTTTTTCGACAATCCAAGAACATCAACTGATATTGATAGTCTCGCAGGGCAGTGGTAGGGCTCGGCGGTTGTGGTAAGAGTGTCGAATCTGCGGTCAGCGTGGGAGACTCGGTATGCAGCGAGCTTTCGACACCGCTTTGTGATGACCGAGATATCTCAGGAATCACAGGTCTGCTGTAAGTAGACATAGAAGGACTAGAAGTAGAGACTGGTGGTAGCATGGGCCTGTTGAGCATGGGCATAGCAGAACCAGGCAGGCTTTGAATCATTCCTGACATTGGCTGCATTGCAGCTTGCGAATGAGCTTGTTGGTGCTGCCAATGAGCTTGTTGGCGCTGCGCGTGAGCTTGTTGGTGCTGCGCTTGAGCCTGTTGGTGCTGCGCTTGAGCCTGTTGTTGAGCCATGGATTGCGCCTGCCTCTGATGAGCCATGGACTGCGCCTGCATCTGACTCTGCGCCCACGTCTGCGATAATGCTTCAGGAGTCTGCTGAGCCAGTGCTGACTGTCCTTGACCAAAATTAGGTCGTTGTTGCTGACCAGACAGATGCAACGGAAAGTCTGAGGCTGCAGTTCCACTCGGCACTGGAGGATAATGGGGCGTTTGCGCATCAGATGATGGAATCGTTTCCACAGATTCACGGGACATAAGAGGCGGGTGCTGTGAGCTCTGCGTCGACGGTATGGCATCAAGATTGGTTGTTTGCTGAGGCACTGAACGATGCCCTTGGCTGAAATAGAAACCATCCAATGGAAACTGCGTGCTCTCATCCGAAACGTGAAGAAAGCTATCGAAGTCAAAGTTCTCCAAACTACCCGAGTTATCGTTCATATCGAAATCGATGAATGGAGCAACCTTTCCAAAGTCGGCAGCTGACGGAAGCTTGATACCTGATTCAAATTTGCGACAAAAGCGTTGATACATCTTGTGCACGTGTCGCTTCTGATGTTTCTTTTTGTCAACATCGAAGCTCTTCTGTAGCATTGTGATGCGCTTCAGAAGTTTCTTCACATGGTCCGCTGCTCTTGCCAGTTCTTCGGTCGAGATCTGCTCCTCATTTTCATCGCCTGACATCGTAGCGTCGCTATCAGAAGTGTCTGAATCATCTGCGGTTGAAAGGTCGATGGTAATGGTGTCTTTCTGAGGCTTTGAAGGCTTCTCTAGCGGAGGGAGCTTCATAACGGGAGCGCTAGTCATAAGCTCCAAAGTTGGAACACGAGAGGCGACGCTTGATCCTCGAAGGGTTTCTTGGTCATTGATTGCGATATGACAGAATCTGTTTTCGAGAGCTTGCAGGCTTTTGAGTGAGTCCTGCTGTCGCTGGTGCAGTTCGCGGATCTTCTTACGCTCTTCATCCAAGACACCTTTTTCCATTCTTCTGTGGCTATTGTCAGCTGCATCTTATTCATGGTAGTGTATCAACTCGGCTCACCCTCGCGCCTGACTTTGGGCTAATTGCAAGACATGCAACAAAAGCACAAGGCTGTTCTTCAAACTCTCAAGTCTCCTTCGGTTCAATTCGACCCGCTGTTCCTTCATCGGCCAGGCCAGCTTACCCATCACGCTCAAGCTTTTCTTTCCATCTTTTGCAGTCTTTCTCCTCTTCTCTACTATCTCTGATACTTCGTCGAAGACGCTTTGGCACTTTTTGATGATGTTGTTAGCGTCCTGGATAGCCTTCTTCGACACGATGGATCCGGCCTCCTCGGACTCAAACACCCTGCCAACGCTTTCGAGCGCATTCGATGTGAGCTCTACATCGTCGGCAATGTCCTTGACGTCTTGGTCTGCCCGTGCGGCTGAGTTCGTGAAGTTGTACAACGCGACGCTGAGCTTGGCGCCAGCCCCCGCGATCTGGATGATGCTAGCTGCGAGGCCTACGACTTCGGCCATCATAGGGTACTTGCTATGTGCGCATTACTTGTCCGTTCGAAAGTGTCGCACGCTCCTATTGCTAAGACTGAGCGCGAAGATAAGGGTGGGCCGAGTGGTAAAGCAGGCTTCGCAGGAAGGCTGAGTGCCTGCATGACCCGCTGCGGCTGAGGCGCAGCCGCATGCTGTGAACACATTGCCATGGGGATTAGAGCAAATGAGAATGCCGTCGCACATGCGATACTGTACAGCGCTGTGAGCAATGCAGGCAAAGATATGCGACAATCGTTTCGCGTACAGACATGATAGGTGTCCTACGTAGTGCTTGGGTCCAGTGCAGGGCATGTGACCCTCAGGTGTGCCTGCCTGTTTCGATTCCTCAGTTCCGCGCCTCCGCATCGAATCACCATCTCACACCAGTCGACTGAAGAAAAAGACGAGCTCCTCTTCATTTCTACAAATTATACCTTGACAATGACACGTGCACCAAAGAATGAATGGGCAAGCAGCTCTCTTCGGTTTTATCGCGGCCGAGCTTCGCACTAATACACCGGCTGCAGGATGAACAAGCAGAAGAGTTGGGAGACCATACAGTGCAGGAACTTTGAAAGAGTATGGTCAGTCTGGCGCATCATGCAGAATGTGAATGGTATAAACATCATGTTCTGAAGCTAGGCTCTGGGTATATAGCGAAACAGCATGGCAATGCAAGAAAAAACGTAGGAATGGCGTGTGACTTCATCGAGCGCCCTCAGCTACCCTCCACCTACTTGACATGTACAAGTTCGGGTGTCTGCTGGTAGTAATCCTGTTGTCCATTGCCATAGCCGTACGTGACCTGCTGCTGCGTAACGGGCGCATACGTTTGTTCGGTCTTCTCGATCGTCTGGTTCCAGGAGACGTGTTTGGCGATGCCCAGCAGCGTTATAAAAGCCAAACATTTGATTAAGCCCATGATGTAAGACAAGGCCAGCGATGCGCCAAGAGAAGGTGTTACGGGCCAGTAGATACTGGATGAGTAGACTACCCCCAATGATGCGTTCACGAATAGGGTAACATAGAGGGCGGTAACCCAGCCGAAGAGGTCCTGGGGCTGTTAGCAAACGTACCAGTAGATAGTAGCTGCCATGGACTTACACCTCCGGGTAAGCGTCTTGATCTCAATGCCGAAACGTTTGACAGAGACATAGCCGCCGAAATAATAACAACGATCATCCATACGATGTCGTAGGCAAGATCGAGACCATTTGAAACTAGTAACGCAAAGTCCCAGTTGGATTCCAAGGAGTTGTCCGCCAATGCGACGTAGGCAAACATGCTAACGTCTGCTAGGATGACAGCAAACGCAACGCCAATGGTAATCAGAAGTACGGTTTTGGAACCAGATGACATGTTCCCAAATTGCTTGTGCAGCATGGAGTTCAGGACGTAGACGAACACGAACAGCAGCGCAGCATTGGCCAAACTGCTCATGATGGCGGAGGCAACGTTGATATTCCAATAATCAAAGTAGTTGATATTGTCGCACTCTGACATGACTTGGCTTACGAGACTCAAAATTCGCGCGCTGGAGCATGTTAGCACTTCTAAAGCCGGTGAAAGATACTTTGTCCTTACATGACTTGGAGGAATAGGGCTACAACGAAAGGTACACCAATCAACTTCTTTCCGGCACCGCTCTTCTTGCGAACAAAGAACGTCGATATGAAAATACCCGTGTACAGAACCAGGAACAGCACCACAAATGCGAGCGCGGCTTGGGCGTACGGCGTATTGAAGGCGTCCGGGCATGAGGCATTGCTGTATCCGGTGCCACCGCCGCCGCTGCGTCTGGGTGCCATGGCAAAAGAGTGTTGGTGCTGATCAAGTCCCTAAGTTGGATTTCCGAAGTCAATGGGAGGTGAGTTGGCGTTCGACTAACGATAAGACGCGAAACACGGTTCGCGGCGACCTCAAGAGTATTTCAGCAATAACAACTGCATGCTGCATTAGTGCTCCGCCTTCTCACAGCCTGCGGCCTTCCCGTTTTTCCCGTTTTTCGGATTAAGTCAGGGGCAACTGAAGCGTCGCTAAGCCTCTCAAAGCGTTTGTCGGGCGCCTTACTGTGCCAGAAGGATCGAAGCGAGAGTGCGCGAGATCCTGTGGACGCCCTGGAGCCGGGGTGTCAAAGCCTCAGCGCGTAGACATATTATCTGGCAAACCCCGAGCGCAGTGCATTTGAAAAGAAAAGTATACTGGCTTGTGTTTCTCGTAGGAAGTCATGTCCGCAGTATGTTGAAATGAGACGGGGAGGCTGGTTGCGGGTTACGTCGGGATCAACGCTGTTGCCGACTCTAAACAAAAAAAGACAGGGCTGTGCCTCAAATAGCAGTGGTCTGCGGGTAGTCCGGCTCTGCAAGCGGCTCAAGAGAGTGTCGCGTCGTAAAGTGGAACGATGCGAAGGCACGGCATGACAGGAAGGCCGCCCAAAGGTGCCCAGGTGATCGCCCGGGCAATTTAGCCTTGCGAGTGGCTGGAGCTTCACGTGACGTGGCTAGTGCAGCCACGGATCAGTTTCCGCGATGCAGGGCGCGGCATTACATCATGTTCGTCGCCTCGACCAAAAGCCATTTCCCTGCGCGTCTCATTCACGCGCATCTGTTCTTTCGGAGGATAGGCGGTCAGCTGCTCTGATTTATCTTATCATAGCTCGGCCGTCGTCTTACATCTCGCCGTGAGCTCGTAACATCCACCTGTTCCGATGATTCCGTTACAAGGGACCCACGCCACAAGTCTCTCTACCAGCCACGGACATCCGCTATATATCCTCAGACTGCCGCGTATCCATCTTCAGACCGCAAACTATTGAAGACGACACAGACAGGAAGCTGCAGAGTCAAAAATCCTAATTTACACCGCTGGTGCCCAAGAAGTCAGCAATGGCACACGTATTGCAGGGACTGTCGACGCGACCCGCGCTCGGTAGTCACGACACGTGGACAGCCAACGCAGCATCGGAAACACTGGATGTGGACGGCGCAACAACATTGAGTCCCCAAAACGATGAGCAAGCAGCAGACTCGCGAAGTCGAAGCACGACAGCGATACCGTCCGATGACAGTGGTTCAGAAACGCAGGTGGTCGAGAAACCCGGAGGCCGTAGGAAGAGCATCCAGGTCGTTTTAGAGCAATCGGGAAAGAAGGGCGAATACACCTTCACTGCTAAAGATCCCGTCTTCCAAGAGGTTCTTCAGTCAGGTCTGCGGCGAGAGGCTGAGAAACTCAATGGAAAGGCGAAGGGGAAACCCCGCGATCTTGTCTTCACACAACAGTTCACCACATTCGACCGCCAGAACGCGTCCGCTGCGCACTCCCCGTTTCATGGATTCTTCACACTCTTCTGGATTGCGATGGCTTTGCTACTCGCGCGAATAGCTGCAGGTAACTACAGGACGAAAGGCTCCGTATTTGGGGATGCAGAGATTCTGCACTTGATGATCGACAAAGACTTGTTCGTCATGTTGACGACTGATGTCGCAATGTGTGTAGCCACCAGCTTTGGCTTCTTCCTGCACAAGGCCATTGTCAACGAATATCTGACTTGGAACGGCTCAGGCTGGCTCATACAGTCTTTGTGGCAGACTTTCTTCACTTGCACCATCATCTGGGTTACTTTCTGGCGAGACTGGCCTTGGACTCATACAGTCTTCATCGTTCTCCACGTCTTCGTGTTGCTGATGAAGCAGCACGCTTACTCCTTCTACAACGGCTATTGTATGTGATCCGCACTGAAATAAGAGACCTGAGCTGATTATCAATAGTATCGCGAGTATATCGACGACGCAATCTGCTCCGTGAGAAACTACGTCAACTCGATGATATCAAAGCGCATGAAGGCCCGACCCAAACAGATCCTCCGAATGAAGCGCTAACTGCTTCCGGTCTTGAGAAATCTGACCAAGGCCAGTTGACGCGTCGGGGAAGCATTGGGCCAAAGTACTCCACCAATTTATCAAAGGAAGAGTCTGAGATTGCATCTATCGGCAAAGCTATTGAAACCGGCAACCCGCTGGATTCGGAACAGATTGAAGCCTTTCGACGCGTGCTCACCACCGAGATTACGATTCTTGATGAAGAGCTTCGTGGAAAGTGCACTACCACCGATAACGTCTACCCGAACAACTTAACGTTCTACAACTTTGTAGAGTGGGCGTGCCTTCCCACACTCGTCTACGATCTAGAGTACCCCAGGCAGGAACGCATCAACTGGTGGTATGTAGCGGAAAAGTCAGCGGCCACCCTGGGAGTCATCTGGATTATGATCATCATCTCGCAAGCATACATCTACCCAGTAGTCGTAGAGACTATGCGACACAAAGAGGCTGGCATGTCGCTCGATGAGCGATGGAAAGAGTTTCCATGGGTCGGTAAGTGCTACATCGCTATGAGACCGTCGAACACACCGCTAACAATTTTCCTTTATAGTATCCGATATGCTCTTCCCCCTTCTCCTCGAACAGCTGCTCAGCTGGTACGTCATATGGGAGTGTCTCCTTAACGTATTGGCAGAAGTCACGCGTTTTGCCGACCGCGGTTTCTACGGCGCGTGGTGGAACTCCGTATCCTTCGATCAATACGCTCGCGACTGGAACCGACCGGTCCACAACTTCCTGCTTCGGCATGTCTACCACTCGTCGATATCGTTTTTCCATCTATCTAAGATGCAGGCAACGTTCTTCACTTTCTTGCTCAGCGCTATTGTACATGAGGTTCTCATGTTCTGTTTGTTCAAGAAGGTCAGGGGGTATCTGTTCACTTTCCAGTTGACGCAGCTGCCGCTGGCAGCGTTCAGCAAGACGAAGTTCATGAAGGGGAGAGATACGTTGGGGAACATTGTGTTTTGGTTTGGTCTCTTCATTGGACCTAGTGTCATCACCAGCTTGTACCTTATCGTTTAGATGTACTAATACGTCGTCGACTCTCAGCTCTCTTCCAAACAATACATTGGTTGCTTAGTCTTGGTTGCATTCAATCCTCTGAGGCTTGTGCGCCTTTGTTTCTCTCTTCCTTTAACACTTCCAACACTCTTCGCGTCAACCTATCGCGCTCACCGACATCCACAGTACCGTACGCATCCTGCGATTGCTTGAAAATGTTCTTTTCCCATCCGTCTCCAACATTTGGCTTCCCCGCATCCTGCCAACAATCTTGCACCGTACCCCCAATATTCTTAAAGAAGCCTTCTAACCCCGCCGGTCCACCGCCAGCATGATAGCTCTTAAACGGCCCAGCGACTGCCCATCGCGGTCCCATACTACTCTCTACGATACTATCCAACTCCTCCACCGAAACAACGCCCTCGTCCACGAGATGAACAGCCTCGCGCAACAGCGCAAATGCCAGCCTGTTCGCCACAAAGCCAGTCGTCTCTTTCTTAATATTTATCGGTACTCTCCCACGACCCTTCCAAAACTCCTGCGTCCGTTTGATGACTTCCTCCGAGGTATCCGGCGACGGCACTAGTTCTAGCAATGGCATGATGTGCGGCGGGTTATACGGATGCACGACCAATAACCTCGACTTGTTCTGCATATCTTGCGCCTGCTGCGAGGCTGGGATACCAGATGTGCTACTCCAGAACAGCGAGTGTTCTGGTGCATGCTTCTCCACGTTCGCCCATAGTTTTTTCTTAAAGGCGAGGTTCTCCGGACCAGATTCTTGGATGATGTGGGCGTCTTCTACAGCTGCTTCGAGGGATTTGGCGATGCGAATGTTGGATATAGCGGCTGCTGCGGGTTCTTCTGCGAAGAATTTTGGTAGGTTTTCTTCGATGTATTGGTCGACATCTGGTCGGGTATCGTAGATGGTGAGTTGGGAAGGGCCGAGAAGGTGGGATAGGTGGAATGCGGCGAAAGATAGGCCAATAGTTCCGGTGCCGATGAGAGTGATTCTGAGGTCTTTGTTGCTTTCTACTTTCAAGATAGGGTCTTGTTGCGAATCTCCTGCGTCGGACATGTTGGTTGTGGAGATGACGGATTGGCTCGGCTAGTCGTGATGAGAGGTTTGAAAGTCGCGGTAGCTATCTGGGCATGGGCCTTGTTATATCTAGGTTCTGTGTACCAATGATTTTGAAGTTCCACTCAAACCTCGTAACAAGATGAACTGGTGTGTGGCAATGAAGCGGCTCTTACACACCCTGGCTCGGATGTTACCCGAACAAACGTCAGAGGGTATGTCGATCTTGAACGCTTTCGGATAGCTCGGTAGCTGCTCTTTCCCCGCCTTGCGCCTTATCCCCGCTCCACGATCGACTCGAGCGCTGCGAATCCGATGGAGATGAGCGCGCCGAGGAAGCATGGTGGCAGTCGCCTATTAGAAAGTATGGAGGCGGCCCATTTGATGGTCACTCGCTTCTTGACCCGTCACCTTCTGTACTGCGCTTTTCACTACGATTCTGCAGTGCGACTTTCCTCGCATCAGTTTATCCGGTTATAAGTCGCGTGTTGTTTTTGATTCATTGCTGAGCCAATTGCGTCAAGATGGTGATTTTCAAGTCAAGGCAGCCACCCATCGATCGTAAGTTGTCAAAAGTCGAATCTACCATGCCAATGCATTATCATTGATGCTGACCGCTATAGTACCAACTGAATTGACGGACTGGGACTGGCTCTTTGATTCCGCCTACTCGCCTATCAACAAATACCCACCGAACGAACTAGCTGGATTCCAAAACGCGATCACGAAGGAGCGTGTAAACTGGGCCGATGTGAAGAAGTACTCCACATACATTTCCACCGCGCTGGTGAAGAATTATGGCCTCAAAGAAGGCGAGACAGTGGCGCTGTTCAGCCAGAATACTGTT